ACACTTTTGACACAAGACCGTTATCATCCCTAGCTACCACATCTGGCAGCTAAGGGTAGGGGATTCAGTTTGAGGAAATATTTGTTGAATTTTGAACATGGTCAGTGGCATACATCTAGCCATTTGATTTTATATCTGAATGATAGGGGTGACTATGACCTTGTGTCAAAAGCTGGAAAATCTTATTACATTGTTGCTAGTAAAACTTATAAGAATGTGAGAAACTACAATTAAGGATAAAACTATGATATGAAATGGATATAAGTAGGGGTGGTAGTCAAGTTGGGTTGATTTGACGACTCGGCGGGTCGACCCGATTTGGGTTTGGGTCTTGGTTCAATTATGGACTCGATGGGCCAGGTCCAGGTCCTGGTCACACACACACACACATATGGGTGTGGTTTCTATAAGGTTGCAACCTTAAACAATCCAATTAAAGCACACCTCCAAATTTTATTATGACATGTAATTTTGGTGTAAAAAATTCTTAGGATTATTTAAAAATATATTTTCGTATCTAATTATGAAATTTAAACTCCAAAAATGGTTAAAATCAAGTAGATCTATGAACATATGAAAATTTTGAAAATGGACGGTTTAGATATTGTGTTGCATGATGCACTATTTTTGGGACTCAAAATATTTTCTTTTTTTTTATATTCATACATCTCGATGATGTGACAATCAATTAGAAGGGTTTTCAATATTAAACAATCTCTTCCGATGGATTTTTTAGGTGCATCTTTAATTCTTTTAAGGTTGCAATCTGATATATAGGAAGATACTACAAAATGCCTATAGGTGAAAATGAACAGTATTTTCGCCCATAGGCTCGGTGCCATCTGATTTTTTCGAATGGCGTGGATTAAAGACCGTCACGGACATGCTATGTATGTGATGGGAGTTTTCACGTAAAATTGACGCAAAAAATATACAATACGTCCGTAGCAGTTTTGAGGCAAAGCCGTCACAAACATAGCATGTCCGTGACTGGAGAAACACTGTAACAAGTTGCCTATAGATGTTTTTAAGGCTTTTCCATATATATAT